GGGGGGTTGCTATGAGGGCAGGGTCTGCCCCAGAGGAAGGGGTTCACTGGGGCCAGAGGGCTGGGGGAGAAGCAGCGGCTGCCGGTTACCTTGGAAGGAGAGCCCCTGCCAGCCATAGGGGGCTTTGTACTGGCTCAGGCTGTCCCAGAGCTCCCGAGCGAAGAGGGCCCCCGAGAGCAGCACTGGAGTGGAGAGATTGAACAGGGCCCGGAAGTGGGGGTGCTTCTGGATGGCCAGAGAGAGCGGGTGTCGGCAGCGCGGGCTCTGTGGGGCGAGAGGGAAGAGTGCTGAGCTCCATTAGCTGGGGGTGGGCGCCTTCCCAGGAGCCTGCAGAGCCCGCAGGAAGGTTGGGAGGGAAGAGCCGTCCTTCCCCTCCAGCCCTGGTTCACCCCCAGACCCGCCAGCTGAGCTGACCTGTGTGGCACAGCGGTGTGGCGAGGGTCAGAGAGCTTTCTGGATCTACCCTGCCCGGCCCTTTCTCTCCTGGATGCCACGTCTCCAGGGCCTGATGGCTCTGGCCTCCCACTCCTTCACTTCACACTTAGAGAAACTTTGGGGCGTTTCCCCACAAAATGGGTTAAGACGCGTCTGCCCTTGAGCGGAAGAGCGCCAGCCTGGGCTTTGGAATCCAGCAGCCTGGACCCAAATCCTAGCTCTGGCAGTCCTCACTGTAAGATTCGTGTGCAACGGGCTGCGGGGATGGTTACCATCATTTCTTTCCGGGTGGTACCTGAACAGTGCCCCCCCCCACCCCCAATTCTGTCTGCCTCGAATCTTAGAACGTGACCTTATTTGGGAATAGGGTCTTTGCAGATGTGGTTAATCAGGGTGACGTCATATTGGTTTAGGGTGGGCCCTAATCCAATGACTGGTGTCCTTACATAGCCGTGTGAAAACAGACACAGAGACTGGAGTGATGTGACCACAGGCCACAGAAACCGGAAGAGGCGAGGAAGGATTCTTCCCTAGAACTTTCAGGAAGGTGGCTCTGCCGACCCCTTGATTTCGGACTTTCGGGGTTCAGAACTGTGAGAGAATCAATTTCTCTTGTTTTAGCAACCCCCCCCTGCCCCTACCTCCGGTTTGTGCCCATTTCTTTTTTTTTTATTTTTTTTTAAATTTTTTTTTTCAACGTTTATTTATTTTTGGGACAGAGAGAGACAGAGCATGAACAGGGGAGGGGCAGAGAGAGAGGGAGACACAGAATCGGAAACAGGCTCCAGGCTCCGAGCCATCAGCCCAGAGCCCGACGCGGGGCTCGAACTCACGGACCGCGAGATCGTGACCTGGCTGAAGTCGGACGCTTAACCGACTGCGCCACCCAGGCGCCCCTGTGCCCATTTCTTTCAGAAGCCCTAGGATAGTTAGGCAGTGCCTCGGCACACGGGGACCTCGAGGGAGGGTAAAGTACTCAACAGGTTCCAACCCCATCTGCCTGCAACCCCCCGTGTCAGAATCCTGCACAGCCTGGGCCTGGGTGGGGCTACCCTTCCCACCGAAGGGGGCTCTTTGTTAGGTTGCTGGTTTGACGCTGAGTGCAGGGAAGAGCTGTAGGGTTGGTCGCTTCTGCTATAAGGTGCCCTATGGACGGCAAAAACCTACCACGCTGTGCAAAACTGTGCCATCGAAACCCCAGGGCTTTTGGGAAAATGAGATTAGTGGTGCAGCACTCAAAAGCTTTGTGATGCTTTGTGATGCATAAAACACAAGGCGGTGGGGCCTAACAGACGGAAGCACAGTTTCACGCGTCCGGCGGTTAAAATCTACTATTAAACATGTCGCACCTGACCTTGGAAAAGACTCGACTTTGCTCATGTTAAGCGGGCATCAGAAGGGTGGCAGCCTGTTACCGTGAAGTAGTGGGAAGAGAGTTATAACACACTCAACGAGGTGCGTATCTGGAGGGCGCATGTGTGTGTATTTTGCGGATTCCTCTGTGGCTCCCTTTGGTGGGGTGTGGTTTTCTGCATTTAACCTCAGCACTCCCAAGGACAAATCACCCCGAAGCAAACACAAAATTTGTGTTAATGCTCAAACTGTTTCCTAAGGTAACCAACCTTCCTGGAACAAATTCACGTTTTCAAACCAAGCATTGTAGACGGACTGACTGTACTGATTTCACTACTATTCAGCTTCTCTTTGGGCTGTGTTCCAGGGCCTTCTTTAAGAGATGCCAGGAGAAAACTCTTCAGGTCTTTATATCAGGAAGGGCTGTGCTTCACTTGGGAAGTGGGCTTGCTATTATCTCATGGATGGACACAATGGCAAATTTCCTTCTTCACTGTGGCCGCCAGGAGGCTCAGAGCTAGATACATGGCCCGTCCCTTACACCTTGTGGCACATTTTTCCTGCACTTATCTACATGACGTTGTCTTATTCTCCTACGTTTATTTTTCCTGCGGCCATTTCTTCATTTTATTCTGTTTATAGGTTTGTCTTGTTATGTGTATCCAAGTCACCCCGAATCCTTTTTTAAAACAGGCGGGGATATGTCAATGAGCATCAAGCAGCTCAAGGTGGAAAGAACGTTGGGAAACTTAAAGATGAACCATAAGCACCCAGAAGATGCTTGGGGTTTGTCTTCAGCCCGCAGGCCAAGTGTCTACCCTTGCCTCTGTCCTTAAGATGGGGATGGGGACCCCCCCCCCCGCCACCTGCCCAGGGCTACTTGCTTTGTGCCTGAACAGCTCAGCTGTTCACTATGTTTGACATGAGAAATTTCTTTCCCTGAGGCCTTGGCTAACAAGTCCAAGTTCGGGCTCTAGGACATTGAAAACAACTCTTAAACCCGAATCGATCCAGAATAACAGTCATGGTCCTGCTGGGCCACAGCACACAGAGTGGGGCAAGGCTGTATTCCTCGGCGGCTCAGAGGACACGCTCTGGGGTCAAAGCAGAGGCTCAAATTCCAGTACCACCTAGGACCCTGAGCAAGGTACCTGACCTCTCGGGGCCTCGTGCGTTCGCCCGTAAGAGCTACATGACAGAGTTGCCGTGCGGCTTAAGTGAGAGAATGTGGGTGAAGTGCTGCAGCCCACAGTTAACGCTGACCATTCCTTACGGAGCCGGGCCTAGAAGCTTCTCAAACCCCGCCCTGGGCAAGCTTGGAGCATCTTCCCAAGGTTTGCTTGTTTACTCCAGGTCGAGGAGTTTAAATGTGACTTTTATAGTAAAAAGACATTTTGAGGGGCACCTGTCTGGCTCAGTTGGTAGAGCCTGCGACTCTGGATCTTGGGGTTGTGAGTTCCAGCCCCACATGGGGTGCAGAGATTACTTAAAAATAAAATCTTTAAAAAAAAA